CAACAATGTGGCAAGAGCCAAGGTGGAGGTCCTGGGATACACCCTGCTGAAAGTCAATTTCCGACAGCTAAAGCGCCAAATGCAAATATAACCGCAGCCAAAACCAGAGCGGAGCTCTGCCAGACACTTGCTTTCTTGCCAGTGGGAACGCTGCCCGTGAAGGAGACTTTCGCCACCCCAGGGTGATGGCAGAGCAGAGTTCCAGTCTCGGCACCACCCTGGACCACATTGAAGAGCCCCTCGGGGACACCGGCTTGGGCATAAATCTCTGCCAGCACCACAGCAGTTATGGGCGTCATAGGCGAAGGCTTAAACACCATAGCATTGCCTGGGGGACAAAAACAAGACGCAGCGAGTCAGCAAAACAGAGGAGACCAAGGAAAGACCCCAACAGTAAGTCACAGAGTTTTAACTGCGACTTACTGTTTGTAAGTGAGAGGGACACTATACTTTAAAAAGGCTCCTTCCTTCGGATGAGACGTAAAACTGAGTGACTCTCTGTGGTCATTTAAAATCCCAGGGCGTTTCTTGAAAAGAGTAGGGGCGTTACCCTACTCCTGGCCAAATTTCCCATTGGCCTTTAACAATCATGGCCTCCTAATAATCCCAATCTATGAACTGGCTTTATCACTCTGTTCTCCTCTCCACTGAGAGCTGATGTGTGCTGTAATGGTGCACTGTAGCTGCTGTCGCAGATCATCCAGGTGGGGCTGCACATTGGTGGTGGTGGAGGGAACTCCCCATTACCTGTAAAGCACTTTGACTGGAGTGTCCAGAAAAGCACTATATACTGTAAGTGTACGCAATTATTATTAACTGCAGATTCTAAATCAAAGGATGTTGTGCTAAAACCATGCAAAAACCCATGATGAAAAAAAATGTACTCCTGCTCTGAAATCTGTCCCGACACCGACAGGCAAAAAGAAGTGAATCGTTTCAGAGCTGAACAGAGAAGACAACAAGGAACCCTCATTCAGCCACTTACAGTTCTCAAAAGTCACAGACCAAGTCAACCTACTGGACTGTTTCAGGATCAACAGCGATAAACCAATCAGAGGACACAAGTGCTAACACAAGCACATTTAAAAATGAGAATTTGTGCTCAGTCTAATCCAGGCCAATGGTGGATACACAGTTCACTAGGGCTGAATATTTTCTTTTACACTACAACAGAACCATGCTCGATTCAATGCTTCTAGAAATTATTACAGGCCTAAAGGATTCTCATATTCTCACTAATTTTTCTCAAAACGTATCAGAAATTGATGACCACGAATATGAAATACCCTGTATTTAAAAGGAGCAATCTTAGAATCCCTTCTTATCTATCTGAAAAACTGGGACTGTAGAGCACAAGCTGATAAACTGGGGGTGAACACTCAGTGGATACTGGTTTCTCCAGCTAAACATCAATTGCTTCAATAAATCACCTCTTCTTGTTTTAACAGCAGAACTATGGTTATCATAGTAGTTAAGCCCAGGATTTTATGTAGTAACCCACAGGTCTACTGCACCACGTTCAGAAGAGAATTAACCAAACCCGCCCCCTGCTGGGCGGATGGAGATGTGCACTGCAGCACAGGACGCACCGCAGGCTAGGGCTGGGGCCGACTTCCAGGCTGCGATCTGGAAAGGGTAGTTCCAGGCGCCGATCCCCACGCACACCCCCAGGGGCTCCCGACGCGTGTATGCAAAGGCTCCCCCTGGCAGCTGTACGTGCTGGCCTGATAGGAAGAAGAAAGGGACGAGGTCACTCAAAACTTGTGCAAGTCCAAAAGATGTTTATATTAGAAATGCCCATTTTCTTTTTCTTAAAAAAAAAAGAAAGAGTGCACATCTGCGCTACAAAACAACCAAACCCCGGTGTCCCATTTCCTATTGGCCCTTACCAATCATGGCCTCCTAATAATCCCCATCTATGAATTGGCTTCCTTACTCTGCTCTCCTCCCCACTGATAGCTGATGTGTGTTGAGCGTTCTGGTGCACTATGGGTGCCGTCGCATCATCCAGGTGGATGCTACACATTGGTGGTGGTGGAGGGGAGTCCCCATTACCTGTAAAGCGCTTTGCGTGGAGTTTCCAGAAAAGCGCCATATAAGTGTAAGCAATTATTATTATTATTATTATTAAACTAAATTTCCAACACCATTACACCAGATATACCCAGTTCTTCCACTAGGTGGTGGTATAACTACAAAGCAACTAAATGTTGACTTTCTAATAGCCGCAGCCGTTTTCTGAACAAGGGGAACACTGATCAGTTCATTTGTCATATGCTCAATGCTTGTAAATATCTGCTGAAATAGCAGACTGGATACAAAAAGCCCACAACACAAAACAGACAAAGACATACAGACAAGGAGCAACAGGCAATTAATACATTGCCATTCTCTGGTGTAATACTGTTACTGTTGAAACAGATGGTGTGACAAATCCAAAAGAAGAATGAAACAGGAGACGTTCATGCTATAATGTGGATATGTCACCTTTTTTTGTTCTTATTTCATGACCTGCTGATTTTCCTAAAACAGGCTGAGCCCAAGCCACTACATTTCTGATCACATCCTTTTGCTTAAATTTCTGCTGTCAAAGCACCGCTCTTATTCTGGTCTGCACTGCCAGAACTTCCACAAGCACGTCCCACACTCTTTCTTCACCTGCCAGTGTGCCCGCGATGCCAGCGTAGTACTCAATGCACTGCCAGGCAATGTCGATGTCCACCCGTGCCTCAGTGATGGACTTGCCATTGTTGATCACCTCCACCTTGGCAATCTCATCTCGCCGCTCCTGTGACACACCAACAGGAAGAGGAAGAGGAAGGGTGGTCAGCCAGGGGAGCACCTCTAGCCACTGATATAACATCAGGAAGAGACCAGTTAGCGACCAGTCAAGGCGAGACTGGTATATCATTAGAGATCAGTCAGACCAGTCATACAACATCAGGAAAAGGCTTGTTAATATACAGTTAGAGGGGCATCTCTGGTCAGTGATACACCATCAGGAAGAGGCAAGTTAGTATTCAGCCAGGGGGAGACACCTCTGGCCAGTCATACACCATCAGGAAGAGTGGCTCGTTAGTGATCACTTTGGGGTGGGGGAAGAGGGAGGACACCTCTGGAGACTCTAAAGCCACTACTGTAGCAGCATCACCTGAATGTTGTGTTTGAGCCCTTGCATCAGTGATACAGACACTATGCCTCAAGCTCATAGTGAGCGAACAATCCTATCTGCACCTGGTAACCTGGCCTTGTGCATCACAGTCTGATTACTGGTCTTCTATATAATTTAGGAACAAGTAAGAGGTTTATTCCATGCTGAAAAAAAGAAGAAAGAGAACACAACGTTTCGGCCGTGGAGCCTTCTTCAGGTGTCTTCAGGTATAATTTATACTTTACGCATGGACACATGTTGGGAAGCCCTGACTTTTCAATTTCTTGGGGGGGGGTTCAATTTAAAACAGGATATGTGGAACTCAGATGTTTTCAGATCATAGTTCTAAGGCATTGGAAAACTGTTAAAAAAGTTTTAAGACCATCCAACCCTATTTGTCGAGGTAA